AAATATTCAAAAAAATAAAGCAATTATAAGTATGTATGTACAATAAATATTTTAAATAAATTTTTGGTAATATGTAATTTTATATTAAAATTTTTATACCCCCAATGTAGTTACAGATTATTAAATAAGAACGATAAGATTAAATTTATACTTTAATTTTAGTTAAAATGGTTTCTAACCAAAATGAGAAGAAAATTTTGAACAAATACATAAATATATGTATATGCATTCATTTTCATGTACGGGCTTCTTAAACAGAAATTAAGAACCATTTGGTAAAGTCGAAAGACTTAGCATTAGGTATAGCTTCACTAGAAGTGTATTTTAAAATTGGTAGTGCAATTTGGCTAATTTTATACTTTTCATTCATCAATTGGTTTTAGCTTTCTCTTTTACAATTTTGCATAAATTGTAATAAAATTTGTAATGTCAAAATATAAAACTTTTAACAAATTCTTTCTATAATGCAATCACAAATTGTTTACAGCATTTATGTGACAATAAAAATTTTAACAAATAACAAAATTGTAAATCACAAATGTTCTAAGTGTCTTAGTATGATAAAGATAGGGGCTGTTTAAAGATGCTTTTGAAAACCGTGTCGTTTTTTAACAATCTGGGAAATCTACAATTAACCAGTCTAACAATTTTGTATTATAAATTTAAAAAAATAGAATTTTTGCTCCTGGGGTTATTAATATATTGTATTTTATGTTCTCTCAAGAAAGAAATGGTTTCCAGAATTTATTTTTGCAATTCATACGAGTATATTCTTTATTTGTATTTTATTTGTTCAAAATTCATTCTGAAGGGAAGGTAGGTGAAATGAGAGTTACAAGGCATTAAAAGTTGCGTTAACTAATATGTGGAAACTTTTTTGTATCTAACATACATATACATTATACAAAATAACTACAATTTTTTATACCATAATATGTATGTATGTATATATATAATAAGAAACATTTACGCATTGATAAAGGATTTCTACAGATTAAAAGTAATTAAAAATTGATTAGATTTTATTACGGAAAAATTATACTAAAATATTATATTGGTGTACTCGTATAATAAAAATGGAATGGACTTATGCAGACTATCGCATGACTTGAAATGATTTGCAAAATGATTTGTTCTTATAACAAATTTTCTACTTTTAAAATAACTAGTTATTAACTAGTTACTATCAAATACCATACTTAAAAAATTGTAAATAGATTAAATAAATTAATATTTATCGAGTAATTTCCGAAGAAAATGTGTACTATTGATAAGTGAAAATCTAATTTGTTTATACATTGAGGAATTTGAACTTCCTCTCCAGACAATTTACGTTTTTTTAAGTAGTTCACTATTATTTTTATTGTTATAGACTCATTTAATCGATCACGTCAAATTAAATATTATGCTCATGTTAAATTTTAATTATTTTCGGTAATTTAAGTTATAATGCGAGCATATTTATTTTTAGATATTAAAAATTAAAATTTCATTGTTAATTATATGAATGAGTGAATCTACATAGTATTACTTATTTATTAAGAAGGCTATACAAAATATTATGTTTACGTTTTTTATGTTTTACAGAGTGACCAATTAAATTTTATTGAACCAAAAAAGCAACTTTTCATATTTTTGAATACTAAAGTAAAATTTAACAAATAATTAGCACTAATTATTGACAAATTGATGTTTCATAAAATATTAAAAATATAGGATTTATTTTATTGATTTATAAATCTTGTAAAAGGCTAATATTTCTTTCTACCCTTTTCATTAATTACCTACTTTTCATTGCGGTACATATACAAACATGCTTACATAGCTATATTTGCCCGTGAGTAGGTTTTTGTAATTATAAACAAATTAAAACTGAATTTTTAACTGGAACTGGATATTTGAAAATTTCCATAACACACACAAAAAATTAAATGGAATATTTTGCAATTTCTAAAACCAGAAACTACCTAAGAAACACTCAAATTTTTAGAAACACTATACGACATTTCACTCACATTTAAATATTTCTAAAAATTTTTATGCAGTGGTAGCTTAATGAGTCTTTTCTGAATTTTTAACTAATAAAATAAACTGTAATGAACTCAAGATCATGCACATTTAGAATTTACAATAAGTTGTTCCGTAATATGTGTATATACTTTTGGTACTTGACACTCTTCTGGCAAAGCAGTACAATATCTAGCAGAGAAAGTTCGGATCGAATTTATTTCTTTTCTAAATTCAACTCTAATACTACAAATTAGCTTAACAAACAGATTTTTTTTATTTTTCAAAAGGAAAGCACAAAATATGTATGTATGTACATATATGTATGTACGTACATGAATGGTTTATTATTTTACAAAATTCAACGTATTGGCTTTTGTTTTTAACGGTTCAGATAATTGATGCAATATTGTTAACTATTGAATAATTATCATGGCTCTTTTAATCGTTCACCATATAATCGAATCGAAACTCTAACCAAGGTTTGTGTTAAACATTGACAAGACATTGAATATTGATCGCAGATTTCTCTTGATTTAATTAGAATCGGATGAATATTTTAAAGATTAGCGTCTAAGAATACTGTTAAATGAAAATATTAAACACTAGGCAATTTTCATCAAATCAATTAGAATAATGTTTGAGGTTGTTCCACGTTTTACTAGACATCTTATTACACGTCATTTTAATGCGATGACTATTGGTATGTTAGGGGAAAAATATTGAAGATGCGCATTATATACATACGTTGTATTTTTTATTAAAAAAAAGACAAAATGAAGTCTGCTTTCTAATTATAAATTCGCATTATTAAGTGGTCAAAGTTTATTCATGATCAATAGAAAAATATAATGATATATAAGTTCAGGCATGCTAATGTGAAATTGATTAGATTTTTGTGTAATAATGACAATCGTATGTCGCATGCACAAATCGTATGATTGATAACAAATAAGTACAATAATTATTATTCATTCGAAGCTATTTCGAAAATTTTGAACACTAAAAATTTTTATTAACTAATTTTATTAATTTTTTTTATTGTTAAGTAGGTATATGCCATAAATACAAGATTTTATTATTATTTTTTTTCTAAGAAAGTACCAACACAATAAGAAAACTAATAAGAATTTATAACTTTTAACTGCTAAAGAAAAGCTCATTTCAATTCTACTATTTTTGCATAATACTATTTTTGTATGTGAAATTGTTTAGAAGTAAAAATTCAAAATTATAGTTAATCAAGCTAATCTTAAGAGTTATTTTCTTATTCATATTTTATAAGGATTTGTAGTTGAGAATTGTAATGCTAATTATTTTTTACAAATAACGAAAATAGAAGTAAATTAACTACATTAACTAGTAAATTATGATTCCTACTGGAATTACACAGAAATATTTGAAATACAATTTTAATTAATATGTGTATATAGGTATCCTTCTATTTACGTACATATGTATATGTGTGTCAGATATTGACTACGATTCACGAATCAGACATGTTAATTTGAAATTTATTTATATGAAAAAAATAAAAAGAGATGACCATATTAAAGGTAAAAAAATTAATGTAGATATTTTCGATTTACGATTATAAGGTTTAAATTTTAAAATGGGTAATGGATTTTGTCTGATTTGATAAAATTATGCCGCAAGCAAAATTTGTCAAAGTCCTTGAATATTAAAAAGGTTTGCTAAATAAAAATATATTTCTCACTTGGTTCTCATCAGCTGACAACGATCCCTTTTGCCCATGCTTTACAACCATTTATGATATACAACGACCTCTTTTTCTGATCCTGATATGTAGCGTAAAAATGATATGTAGCGTATGTATGCATATGCTTGCTTATATTGCTTAAGACTTGAAATTTAAAATGTGTTCAAAATTTTTGTACATAATATGTATGTAAGTAGATATAAATTTATTTTTGAGCCCTTTGAATTTGTAAAAAAAGACGATGCAAATTAATTGTATATATTTCATGAATTCATAATACATAATATAATTATAAATATACATATATGTATGTAAATCGATATTATAAAATTTACGGCTAAAAATATATGTATATCTACCCCAGAACGGGAAAATCCAAAATCATGTTCCAAATTTTTATAAAATAAAAATTTAATTAAAAAATTTGTGAATTTTCACTTTATCGGCATGAAATATATAAGTATGATGTCAGCAGTCAGAAACTGTAAGAGCATTTACAAAAAAAAACAGTTTAAGATTGATTTTAGGTCATAAAGGACACAAATAGAGAACTAGTAATTTTAATGTAGACAATCTTACTATGTATATGTAGTTGTTTTATTTCAAAAATTGACGTAATTGCCTTGTTTCAATTTTGTATTAAACGGTAATTTTCTTTTATAATACACTGTATAATTTTTCTCTACTTATACAACATTATTATAGAATTAATAAATTGTAAACAGAAAGAGTAAAATATAGGAAAGAAAGCATGCAACGAGGGGAAATAACAAAGTGAAAAAGCTTTCATTTTTGCAAATATTACAAAAATAATAATAAAAACGACAACAAAAGAAAAAAACAAAGCCATAAAAAAAATAAAGAGTAATTTTTATCGGGTGATGGAAGAAAAACTAACACACGACAACGACGGCAACAGCATAGATTATTTAGCTTTGCTTTAATATTAATAGAGTTAAAGAACCGTCTCAAGTTTCAGTCAATATTTAAACTGCGATCGGTTAACAACTTCTTCTAACAAAAAAAATAAGGAAAACATTTTGGATCAAAAAATTATTAAGAAAGTGTGTTTTTATTTTATTTAAATATTTTAAAAAATATTTAATATTCGTGTTTTTATTTTTTTAAATAAAATTTAAATGAAAAGAAGTTGTTAAAAAATATTTTTTCATTTGGTTTAAATTGAGGTTTTAAAATTAATTAAAAAATTATCTAGTTAGAAAAAAAAGTATCGCAAAACAAGAAAGTAAAGAATCGTTTTTTATATTGAATTAAAAAAAAAATTTAACTTAAAATAATTTTGGATTACAATTTTATAGAAATTTAGTAATTAATTTATTTATATAAAAAGGTAAGTTAAAAATATTTTCGTTATCAATTAAACAAATTAATTAAGCAATAAGTGTTAGGATTTAATTTTTGTTAGACATCTATGTTTGTACTTCTGACATAGGTTTAGAATGCAATTTTTTAACTTAGTTATAAAATAAACTTCTCGAAGTCAATTTAATAATTTTATAAAATTATCATTCTTAGAAAATTTCTTACCTACTTAACTAAAAAATTTATTCATAATGTGTTTTTGAAAAATAACTAGCATGTGTCTAAATAATAATCACATTTATTTAAATAAATTTATGCGAGATGTTCATTAAGTAGATTGCGTGTCCGGACTTTCAAATTTTTGATAAAGTTTATATTATACATACATGTATGTATATATGTATATCTATTTAATTATAAGATATGTATGACTCGTATGTATAAGACAATATTGGCTCGTAATATTCGCATATTGTAGCAAAAACTATAAATTTTGTATAATTATTATATTAAATTGTAGGTACTCAAAAAAATTTCAAATATTTTTCATTATATTTCAAATTTGCATCCATTTCACATTTTTTTTTTTGACTATTTTTAATATAAAAATTCCATTGAAATGTACAATTCAATGTCATTATACATAATATACTCAACTACCTAAAAAAAAGTACACGTATGTACATACATTTATTTTACATGTAAATAATATAAACTTAGTCACTAAGTTTTCAAAGTGTACATACATATAACGTATATTTTATACCTACACATGTATGGAAATATGAAAAAATTAAAAATTTAAGTTATTAGAAATAATTTACTTACATATTATTTAGTGTAGATGCTTTAATAATTGAGGAAATTTTGAAAGACAACCTTAATTTAGCCAAATTTTAAATTGAGGAAATAATACCTAGCCAATTCCGTTATAAAGGTGACAAAATTATCATTATTTAATAATGTTGACCATTATTTTGTTTAAATCTTATATAAAAATGTAAAAATTTTATAATTAAATTATTTTATGGGAAAAAGGTGATGTAAAATTTGAGCAAAACCTCATCACTACTATTTTTTATAGCATTTGGTTAGGAAAGATTAACTGTACTATAATTTTGGTTGATATCGCGGAAATTAATTGTTGTTAGTTTATATGTGTACATATAGATATGTATATGCATGAATGGTTATTTTAGCAATTGTAAGGTTATTAGTAATGTTAGCACCTTTTGCAATATATTTAAAATTTTTACAAATTTGTTATTTTCCCATTTAAAAATGTTCCCATATGTGCCTTAACATTTAAAAAATTGAAATTTTTAATCTACAACCAAATATAGGACCTACTTATTTTATGCCCCAGTTTTAAAATTTGATAATTTTAATTTGGGACAAAATTCAAGAACAAATAAATTTAGGCATTAAATAATTTGTTGTGATTTAAAATTTAATATAGTAATTATGACCTAATTTTCATTAAATATTAATCTTAATTATTTACATACATACCTATATGTATGTACGTATAATAAATGTACCATTTATTCAAGATTTCAGAAATTTTATATGATATTTTGCACATTTTGTCTTTGAAATTCAAATATGTACATATGTAGGTACGTTAGTTGTTTTTAAAAAACTAAATTCAACTCATATTTTACGAATAAAATTAAGTAAATTTTTATTCACAATACTTAACATACGTTTTCAAGATAATGATGAAACAATCACAACTAAAATTATTGCAAATTCTATTGTTCACATATGTATGAACAACAATAAGACACACTTTATTTAAAAAATATTGTGATCTTTCATTTGACACCAACAGCTAATTTAACTACAAATCTCATCTCAGTCATTATCATTATAAAATTTTTAATTATTATCTTTCGGCTATTGTGCTTTTTAATGTTAAAATTTAAAAACCTCAAAACACCATTTTGTCTAGGTCATATTCCTACTTAACTCTAATATTAATTATTATTGTAAACCCTTGAACGCATTATTTCTTATTTTTGCTATGTATGTACATATTTTTTTTTTTGTTTAGTGCTTCCGAAAATTATTGTACGTATACAATACTAGTTTGTGTTTATTTACGTTAGTATAACCATACATACTATGTATTACGTACATACATATTTTAATTTGGTGATTTCTTTTTGCGAATAAATAAAATTAAAATTTGCAAAAAATTATGGAGATAAAATTGAGTTACTTATTTTGAATAGTCTGTTCGGATTTGAAACTGGCTCAGTTTTGTATTAATTTTTGATTTAAAAAGAATTTAACTTTCTAAAATAAAATTTTAGTTTGAATTGAATGAAACTAGTTGTGGAAGTTACGATATACATATGTAACTTCTTAATGAAAATCGAATTATTTAAAATTCAATGCTATTTTGAATGGTCACTAAAGAATGGTCAAATTGATTTTCTTTTGTTTTTTCTTCTTGTTCGCTTTCTTTAAGCTTGTTAATAACATTTGAGAAAAAAAATTTTTTTATTTTCTTTTTAATTCAAAGATTTACCAAATTCTTTATTTATTTTTTTTGGTTGTAAAAGCTCTATTATAGGTTAAAACAGGTTTAGAATATTTAACAATCGAAAGAATTCGTTATTTGATAAAAAATATTTAAAACTTCAAATGATATTTCAAATTTGATTCGGTTTTTAGAATAAAAATATCATGTTAACAAAAAAATAAATTTAAATGTAGCTTAAAAATAATTTTGGGATTTAAATACTTACATAAGTATGTAAGAATGTAAAGTAAAAACAAAACAGGTGACTTTTAATCAAATATTATATTTACCTACATATATACATATGTACATACATATTTACATATATTGTGAATTGCGCAATGTATCAATTATCAAATCATGAACGAATTAAGTGATGATTTGATCCGACTGGTTTATTTATTTTTATAAAATTCGCGTCAGTAAACTAATATTATCAATTGTCCACTCTTTAAATGTACACGGTAACTAAATTTAGTCAAATTTCATTGCCAATGTTTTCTATCACATGTTTTTTTAAAATTTTATTAAAAATATTGGCGAGAAAAACAATTGGTATTGCAATTAAATTAAAATCCTCATTAAATTGAAAATTCAAATAAAATAAATAAATATTTTTGTATGTTATAGAGATTTTCATAAATCCGATACTGCAAAACGAAATAGTGCAAAAACATAACATGATGAATTTGGTAGCTTATAATATAGTAGATTTCAGTATACAGCGCGATATATTGAATTTATGAAAACGCCTAAGAGTATTTATGACTTTCAATAAAATATGATTAATTTCATGCACGTAGGTAGTTCATAATATGTAATTTGGCGCTAAAACCAACAATAAGAATAATTGTGACAACGTTTAATAATAATTCCACGTCACAATTACACAATTCTTAAAATTGTACTTAGATACTTATGTTCATACGAGTTATAACATTAAACATTCTTTTATAAATATTTATTTGGCGTCAATTCTTAATGCAAAATTAATTTTAATAAAAAACAAATAGCTGCCTCTTATGTCACAAACGAAAATAACTTTTGTTTTGTTTAAAATCTCAGAAATAAAAATTATTTTTTCATCCCCTATTATCAACACAAATATTTTTAAAAGAAATAACATCGATTTTGTTTTATTTTGTGATTATAAACGTCTCATGAATATATAACAACTTATTAAAAAAAAAAATAACAAAACAACATAACGAGTCATTAATATGAGCAAATGAGAATCGCGTGATAAATCACGCCACTCTCAATAAAAATTTTAGTAGAATTGGAGAAATATTAAATAACAGCAAGAGTATAAATATAGGTAAATAAGGATGTATGTTGGTATTTGTTTCATACATACTTATGAAACTGTACGTAACTTGAATGTCAGAAAACAAAAAAAAGCCGGTAACAACAGTAATTTTGTATCATAAAAGTTTTAATAAAAGCTTTCTGTTCTCAATAGCTATAACACTTTTGTTTACAATTGAATTTACTAACACATTTTTAAGTGAAAACTAATACGTAAACAAATTTTGGTAAAATATTACATATATTATTATGTTAAGTATACATAAAAGTTCCTCAACCCTTCAATGAATGTTGGTATGTTTGTATTTAAGTGTACACATCTGAATATTGTACACATCACCCATATTTAAAAGAAATTATGCTGTTATGCTTCCTTAATGTATGAACGTACATAACGTGTACACAATAAACAAGCCGGCTTGTTGGCTTGCCGGTTGTTTGCATAGTATATTTATTTGTTTAGGAATATTTATACACTCATACGTAAATATGTAGCTTTACACATATTTTTATACAATAAAAATATAAGTTATACAATAATTGTCGGTATTATTTTCTTATTAGAATGTTATGTTTATCGTTTTTTCTTGTTATTAAATTGTTGCAAACTTTCTTAAGTAAGCTAGTATGTACACACATTAGTATAACATTTAGACACATTCTTGTGTATGCATGTAAGTATAAATTGTATTTATGCATTTAGACATTTCTTACGTGCACATTTAGAGGTATTACTCGTACGTGTTATTTATGCTTTTTTAGTTTTAAAATAGAATTTAGGTTGCAAGTAAGAGTTAGTAAGTACTTTTAATTAATAAATATTATGTAAAATTAATTGTATAACAAAACTTTTTGAGCTAAATTCGAATAGATACCTAACTATGTAAGCATGTACATTCTAAGTATGCATTGTATGTAACAACATTAATAAGGCTTGAACACAATTTTAATCAACTAACTGACTTTAAAAATTTTTGAAAATTTGTTTTAATATTGTTTTTTTCGTGGAATCGTGCTGTTTAGCCAAGATTGTGCATTATAACTTGATTTAAAAGTAATATTTTATGTTTTAAGATCCCATTCTTTTTTTCTGGAGAATTTTTATAAATTAAGTGGACTTTTATAAGTGGTTAAGTGGTTCTGGAGAATTGGTGTTGTAGGGCATGCCTCGCACTCAGAGGAGGGGCACA